ATCGTAATATGCATTTCGATCGCACAATCACAGAAGCATACTAAATATAAAAGCTAGAATCGCAAAGTTGCGAGACATCGGATAGACGTAGTATGTTTTATCAGAATACAAAGTTAATACAATGAAAAAAAAAGATCCAGAGATGATGTGGTAAATGTAAATACATCTAGTCAATAATTAATGAGCTTTAGATTAGCGAAACGCGTTTGTAGTAATATGAGGCCTGCAATGGCTCGGTCGGTAGGGCGACGGACTCGAACCCGATAGGCCCGGGTTCGATTCCCAGTCCCTGCTGATTGATACAAGCACCACTGAAAAAAGTTTCATGTGCTTTGTTCTCAAACACATTACAAGCTCCCGTCGCTGATTAGCACTGATGGAGCATAAATAGAGCGACGTTAAATAAATTAAAAAAAAAAAGTTTTAGTAATGTATGTTTGAATATTTAACCTATGTAGATAATTTTTAATTACATTTTTATTTACAGTAAAATTTTAGATCTTAAAAGTGATATGAGATGTCCTTCGTTAGCAGAATTATCAAATCCACTGAAAACGTCATGCGTATTTCATTGTAAAAAAGATAATGTTTTCGTCTGTGCTGCTGCATATGAACAAAAATTGTATACTTGAATTAGGAAGAGACAAAAACAAGCTAAACCACAAGGAATCGACATAATAGGTTCATTTGAAGATGATTATAATTTTTATAGAATTTATCTGCATATTTTGAAATAGCTATGTTAACTGAAGAGAATAAAGATTATCAACAATATTCTCTACTCTATGTATAATTAGAAAAGTAAATAAATGAATGCTATTTAATTGTCTGCATACTTTTAATTTTATTGTCTACTTATCCAATTAAAATAATAAATAAAATAAATAGATAATTGCGAATAATTACATTATCTACTTACTACAAATAAATATATCTGAGGGAGGTGGGAGAGTGTAAAGTGGGAGAGTAGGTGAAGAAGTGTAGAAAAAGACTACTTCTCGAGCTGAGTGTGGGTGAGACACTGAACTAGGTCTTTTAATTTTCGCAATGTTGGTTATGATGAAGGTAGCTACTTTCTCTCCAAAACTACTATCTTTAGCTAGCACTTTTTTCCAAGCTTTTTTAGCTAGAATTTTGTCAGCTTTATTTCTTGTAGCAATATCCTCTCGATTTTGCGAATAAGCAATATCGTGTTCTTTACAAGCAACGTCTAGTGGATTTTACCAAGATCTCCAAGCGCCAATCGTTTGTTCAATTTTGTACCAGGACCAAAATACTGATATCCAAGTAAGTGAGCTTCAATAGGCAAGTAATTTATAATCTTATTCATTAGATCAACACCAGTCTTTCTTTTGTAGTACGTGATTATACTTCTTTGAAAGACAACATGTTAATGAAATAAAAGATATATAAGCAGTCTTTTTATATTTAACAAACTCATTTATTGAGGTATCGGTGACGGGTAAACAACATGGATTTCAAAGAACAGCCTCTTAAGCTTCAAGTCGTTAATTTCGATACAGTGGTAGAGACGAAAAAACAAGAAAAAACACATGGTGAACTATTGCCTAACAGTATACGTGCCGTTTTCTGTGGACGGAAAAACTAATTGTTTATTAACATTAATCACTCATCCTAATGGTTATAGATTTGAAAACCTATATGTCTACTCAAAATCCCTTAATCAACTCAAGTATAAATTTTTGAAAGATTTATTAGAGCCAATTAATGGTACAGAGTATCATGCTTTCAGCGAGACTGAGACAGATGTTTCACCAGATAAAACACGACCAAATTCTATCATGATTTTTGACGATATAGCCACTGAGAAGCAAGATAACGTAAGAGCATTTTTCTATATAGGAAGACATAAAAAAGTAGATAGCTTATATCTATGTCAATCGTACGCTCGCATTCCGAAGCATCTCATTCGAGATAATGTGAATTTACTTGTTTTGTTTCTACAAGATGACGTGAATATTAAGCACATTTATAATGATCATGTTAACTCAGATTTGCCTTTGGAAAAGTTTAAAGCAATTTGTTTAAAATTTTGGAGAGACGATAATCATGGGTTTTTGGTTATCGTCAGAGACAGACCAATAAATCATGAAAGATATAGAAAAGGATTTCATTCTTTTGCTACAAATGTCGTAGACTAACTAAAAGAGCATTATTTCTCTTTCATTAATACAACTGACAACAAACCGGTTTTTGATCTATTAAAGAAACTTGTAGAGACAGCTACTGAGAAAACTGATATTATTGAAACGCTACCAAAAAATAATATAATCAACTTTGAAAAAAATATTGAAGTCAAAAGCAGCAAAAGCAGACAATTCTAAGAAATTAAACTACTTTAATAGTACAACCAATGAGTTTGCTACTATTTTACGACCGTTAAATACTACATATGAATCTGCTACTGATGGTAATGATAATACTGTTAATGAATTCGATAATTCTGTTGATGATAATGAATCTACAGATACAACTATATATTTAGATAAAACTTATTTATCATAGTAGCATGATAAGTTAATTTTAGGAAACTACGTTTAACTGTTATATGAGCCTAATATGAAAAGTAATCTAAATAAAATATTTGGTGTTCATTTAAAGGAAAATAAATACACGATTGGCGATTAGCCTACTTATTTCGAAAGTGATAAAGTATTAATGAATGTTGAAAGATATACCAAGACTCTAGGTTTAATGGAATTTCTTTTTCATAAAGAACCTAATTCTAAATTAATTAGCTAAATAGATGAAGAAAATTATATAAAAATTCTTGACAACACTAATCCTCATGGGAAATGATTTGAATTAAATGATGAATGAATGAATGAAATCAGTATGTAAAAAAATTCAAAATCTTTATTGGTCCTTACTTAACTGTTCTCGACAACGTTGCGGTAGTGTTAAGAAACGAAAGTCTATTGGTGGGAGTAGTCCTTTAACCTCGTTACAAAGTTACAAGAAAAGCCACTTCATTTGACTTTGTCTACTGGGATGATCCGAATGAGTTTGTTGATCGACGAATCTTACTTATAGCCGAACAAGCAGCTGGTAATCCTAGTCATATTAATGAAATTCACTCAGTCATTGAAGAATTACGTGAAGCAAGATATATATATTAAGCGAGCTTGAACGATCTATCATATCGATGGAGCCGAAGGGAGTAGCAGTGTAAGACGCAACAATGCAGCAGGGGGAGATCGAAGCTTGACTACGGCGGGACGGGACTGTGAGAGTGCATGGGCTTCTCCATCACTGTGGAGTATCGGCATAAAGAGCGAGCAGAGGATCGCGGAAAAGCGTAGGCCCTTGGTAAGGTCTTAAAAGTGGCTCCATCTTAAATGAATGCTAACGTGATTCCGGGGTGGATGTAGCCATGATCCGGTGAGTAGAATACTGCAATAATTTTTTTTTCTACGTGAAAAAACAAACATTTTTTCTCCTATAAATTTTTTTCGATTGTTACAATTTGACGGAGATAAAAAATGTTGAAAAAAACTGTCACTTCCAGGAAAAAATGCCCGTGCGCGCGTCATATTTGACGAAAATAAATTTTTGATGAGTGATTCAGATAGGGCTTGGTAATAGCTAAAAAATGGTGTACTTTAAATTTTCGTATGATTTTTTTTCCAAAATTGGCTAATTGTCAAAAATAATAAAAAAATTTCAGAATTTTCAATTTTGCATAATTGTTGCAAAATTTAAAAAAACAATCGATGGCAACCGTGAGTCATATCATTTGAAAGCTCTCCGAAAGACCTTTCAAACGCACCCACGCGCATCTCTGTACGTTAATTTCTACCAGAGATATAAAACTTTGAAGTTAGATTGATTTTGCCCGTGGGGGGGTAAAAGTGGCTGACCGGCACTGTATCTTTTATGCATTGGCGGTTCCTTTGTGTTTCAGGACATACATTGCTTATCTATTAATATTAGCTTATTAATATTGAAACAATATTAGCTAAGAGTAGGCATTCAATTTGTTTTATATCATTAATTAAATGTAATCACGTAATTATTTATGCTTAAATAAAAATGTCTCTAATAATCCTTTTTCCTATCACTTTCAAGTTAAAGTTTCTGTTAACGTAGTGGGATTTTTATGATTCACAAACAAGAATAAATAGTATTTTTTATAGAATTACTATATCACTGTTTTGTTAACAAAGACTTGTTAGTTGAATAACTATTTATTGACATTCTAGTTGCTCAATTTTTTGAGTAATAGGTAAGAGGATTATTATCCGCAGCATTCGGTCTACTTCGCTGTCAAATTATGCTGAACTCTTTGGCTGTGTCGGCCTTATTCCCAAATCGGTCTTTCTTATTTGTACAATAACAAATTAAAACGAATTGCGGAACACGAACTTGAAATGAAGTGTCTTTTGCTAATACAATAAATTTTTAATGTCTATTTTTTAATCAACCATTTAAAAAATAAAATAAAATTTTTATATGCAGCAAAATTGTAATTTATTGAAAATACCGTTATTAAAAACAATTTTGCACTGGATTTAAACATTTCAAATGCGCGACTCATGATAAATATCTCGTGATAAATCTCTGAGTAATAGAGGGAGAGGAAAAACTATACTTGAGTGAGTATGAAAGAGACAGAGAAGAGCGGGAGAGAGAGGGAAGATCCGTATGAGTGAGAGAGATGGAGAACTGACTCTGAGGGACTGTTTACTCGTTGTAACTGTAATTCCCTCTCTCTACTCTATATTTTTATCGAGCACTTTCTCTTATGATTTGCCTTGCTACCGAAATATCTCACCGGATCATCTGCACGCTATCTCTCGGTCAAATTTTAACTGGGAAATCTTATACACAGGCTTACTCTTGTATAATCGTGTCTTCGTTGATATTACATAATATATTGTATTATAATATATTACATTACTATTTTCAATCGAAAAGTAAAATAAGTATACAATTGTTCATATATACATATATATGTACATCTATATGAGAATGAGTACCTGTTGTAAATAAAACAATAGCTTTAAGGCAACTATATTCTGCTGTATCTACATGCAAATTTTTAAGCTTCTCAACTTGTTCTTGAAAAATTCTAATATTGTCCATAAATGCAACTACTTTATCTGCAGTCATTGGTGAAGCATGAAGTCCAGCAGCTGCCAGGAGAGATGCCACTTGCAAAGGCATAGAACACTGACTTGCATTAAGTACAAATAGCTCACTCCATACTAGTCTTAATAATGCTACTTGGTCAGTAATCTGAAGATCTGGAAAAAAGGGAATATTTTTGGCCCATTCCACTGCTGAAAACAAAAGTCGTGCTGCTACCTCACAAATATTTTCGATTCCAATTACATTATATGTTTGTAAATTTTGATTATATCTTGAAGTTGTATATGGTTCTGCTCTCAGTAATAAGTTTACATAAGAAGATAGATATGGATGCGTATCTCGATTTACACATGTTACTGATTCGTCGTTTATAGAAGGAAATGATCCTACTAAACCTTGCGTACCGTGCTGATTTTGTGGTACTCGGCCTCTTTGGACAGCTGTAAATAATAATACTGAATTATACGTGTGAAATATTAATGGAAGATTTATATAGTAATAAAATATTAAGGTTTCAAATTAATTTTAATAGAAATTGAGTAATATCTGTCAAGTTGACCGTCTGTAGATATGGGCTACTTCGTCATATTAATGCCGATTTTATAGAACTAACAAAATTTGAGATAAGATCTAATATGAAAATTTATTAAGAAAGACGACAAATGTAATGCTAGTAATTTTAATATTCGCTGTAAATATTGAATTGTATTTGTTTTCAAGATTATATTAATTTTGAAAATACAGTTGCGACGATGCAACTAAGCGAGCGCTCGACGTCTTTTGAATGACATTATGACTGTCATTCAAATTCAAAGTTTGGTGCAGCTATGTGTATTATATGTAACATTGTATCTATGCAAGTTAATTGTAGTAATATTCGATGTAGAGAATCTTGGAATATAAGCAGTATGCCTTTATAAAATGGGGAGTTATTCTTTTTAGAATATTTTCGATACTCTAAAAATAAAGTAACATCGGCTAAATTCGATTTAAAGATTCCCTCTTTCGTAGGTACCAGGGTGGTCCGATAAGTACTTAGCCTACAAACGAAAAACGAAAATTTTGAAAAAGTGGCGTTTTATTTTTCAACATAGTCTCCTTTTAGTTCGATACACTTGGCCCAGCCATGCTCCAACTTCTTTAACCCGTCTGAAAAATACGTTTCCTCGAGGTCCGAAAAGTAGGCTTCCGTGGCAGCGATTACCTCCTCATTATCTATCCGGCGAGTGACTTTTTCAAGTTTGAAAGAAAAAAGGCATTTGATGTACCTTTGACACCTCCCGCGTGCCAGTGGGCTCCTTCGACAGTGCCCCCCCCCCCCACCCACCCACCCACAGAGGTTATTAAAGTAGGATGCTGTAGAAGTCGGTAGGGTGTTTGGTAAACTATATGATGGTCTCTCTCTCTCTCTCTATCCTTCTCTCTCGCTCTCCTTCGATAGTAGGGCGCTTATGCTGGCTGAGTGTGGAGCCTCGGAGAGGGGGGTAGCGTCTTTAGCTTGCTAGGCGCGTACATCGTATAGTACGGATGCTGTTTTCTCTCTCTCTCTCTCTCCCTCTCTCCCTTCCTCTCTCACTCTCCTTCAACAGTAAACATGCTGACTAGATGCAAGTCCTAGGAGAGGGGGTAGCGTCTCTAGCTGCTTGCTAGGAGCGTACACCGTATAACCCTTGAAGAGGGGGATAGCGGTTTTAGCTTGCTAGACGCATATGCTGTATAGTGTGGATGCTGCTCTCTCTCTCTCTTTCTCTAAGCAAGCGCTATAGTATTTTCATTAGATTTCGGGAACCTTTCATCCTCACAGTTGATTTTATTCGAATATTAATTAATAAAACTTATAGAATTTTCGTTTAATTATTAATTTATTGTCCATTCAACTATACATTGAATATAATACAGTCTGTCTATAATCTTTATTTTCAGTAGTTGACATCGCTATATTGAAATATTGAGTTGAATTTTTATAAGTAATATTGTCAACTTCATCAATACCTTCCCCATACCTCACTAATCGAAAGTATAGGGCATCATAGTCACTATATAGTATGGTTATGGTTTTTATTAAATTCCAACAATATATATAATTTATTTTCTTTTTTATTGAAAAGCATTGTATACATTGATTACATAATATCTTGTTAATTTCAAACTAATTTTTTAACATCAACACTAATTGGGTTATATTGTACAATACGATCGTGTAATATTAAGCAGTAGGCTACAAGATCAAGAGATGATTTGAATGCTATTTTGTCTGCTCCAATAGGGAATCCTGCTGCTTCAGAAAAAACAAAAATTACTTTAACTAAGGTTGAATGGTTGATGCCATATGTGATGGTTGCAGACAAAGAAAAAATCAAATTACTCAATCAGATCGGACGAGATCGTGCAATTACAATGAGATATCGTACTTGGGAAATGTATGAGTATCCAAAATTACCACGTACATCAAAGCACGTTTGGAGTGTTAAGACTTCCAATCAATTGGAAAAGCCTCACTTTGTTATTTTAGCTTTTCAAACGAAACGTAAAAGTTCGGCGAGTGTTAATTCTAGTAATTTTGATCATTGTAATATTAGTAATGTGAAGCTATTCCTCAATTCACAATGCTATCCGTATGAAAATCTCAATTTGAATATCGATCAAAATCAGTATGCTGTTGTCTACGATATGTATACTAATTTTCAAAACGCTTACTATGGTAAAGAAAACGAGCCGTTACTCAATAAAAAGGATTTCATTAATAAAGTGCCGTTAATAGTTATAGACTGCTCCAAACAAAATGAAACATTAAAAAGCGCTCCAGTCGATGTTCGCCTAGAATTTGCAACTCGGACCGATTTTCCTGAAGATACTGCAGCCTACTGCTTAATATTACATGATCGTATTGTACAATAGAACCCAATTAGTGGTGATGTTAAAAAATTAGTTTGAAATTAACAAGACATTATGTAATCAATGTATACAATGCTTTTCAATAAAAAAGAAAATAAATTATATATATTGTTGGAATTTAATAAAAACTACCTATAACCATACTATATAGTGACTATGATGCCGTATAATTTCGATTAGTGAGGTATGGGGAAGGTATTGATGAAGTTGACAATATTACTTATAAAAATTCAACTCAATATTTCAATATAGCGATGTCAACTACTGAAAATAAAGATTATAGACAGACTGTATTATATTCAATGTATATGTTCGAGTCATTTACGCTTCGAAAAAAAAAAAAAAGAGAAAGCGACCGGTAACAATACAAGGAACGACGCACGGACAATAAACCATCGACGTCAGCGTTCGGGCACGTTTACAGATGGGAATACGAGCGTCTGTTGTTTATTGCATGTCGCCAATTGCAGCGCGCATTTCCCACATCTGCGCACCACATGTCTCAATGTAGTCATTAGGCTCTTCTCGGAGGGCCTCAAGAGTAGGGAGAATTTTTTTCCGATTATTCTTCTCGCGTCTTCGAATGATGCGACGAAGAGTTAGTTACTTCCCGAAACCCGACAGCTACGGTCGACACTCTCTGCTCTCTATCGTGTATTCCGTATATCCCGAAAGGTTGTACGCGACGCGTCCTCTTTTCATCCACGGCAAGTGCGTGTCCGCGACACCGAGCTAAAAGAAACTGTGCGTGCTCAACTGGGTGAGAGTGTTTGTGTGCGACTGACTCACCAGTGTCTCGTGATCCCAGTGACGCATTTCAGGGGACTGACTACGTCAGTGGAGGACGCTCTCACGTCTCCGGGGTGCTACCAGGTCTTTCCTGCCCATCAGTCGGCAAACCAGGTGGTATCGTAGTTTTGTGTGCCCAAGACGTTGGGGCTGCGGTACGCCGATGTATGTATGTGTGTGTGTGGTAGCACCTTCCCTCCCTCTTCCTATGTTAGCGTCGACTGGTAATCGAACACACGCTTTTGCTTTGAATGGCCATTCAACCGTGCGAATTGTACAGGCTCAGCGAGCCTCAGGTAGCTTATTGTGAGCGCAACCAATATTTCTCTCTCCATTTTTGTATTAGTATTGTAGTTTTCTACTTTATGATTGACTTCCGCATTATTTATAGGAAATAATAACTAAAAAGCTCTGTAATTATTATCTCGGAACTCGATGGCTTTTCCCCCACTTACGACTGGGGTTTTTTATGCCAGATGAGTATCTCCGTTCTTTAATAATCTCATTAAAGTCATATTTGTGTATTTTCATTAATTAATACTTATCATTTGTAACACGCAATCAACCATTCCTAATTCCGAACTTATTTAATACCGCGTATTATCTCTTCGGCACCTTCGGTTTGCCCGTCCGGAGTATAATACATTGTTAATAATAATAATATTCGTGACATTAACTTATAGTTTAAAAACAGTATAGTTCAATGAACAATAAATTAATAATTAAACGGAAATTCTATAAGTTTTATTAATTAATATTCGAATAAAATCAACTGTGAGGATGAAAGGTTCCCGAAATCTAATGAAAATACTATAGCGCTTGCTTAGAGAAAGAGAGAGAGAGAGAGAGCAGCTTGCCAAGCTATATGCTACCCTCTCTCCAAGAGCCCAAATACCCTACTATTAAAGGAGAGCGAGAGAGAGAGAGAGAGAGAGAGCAGCATCCACACTATACAGCGTATGCGTCTAGTAAGCTAGAGACGCTATCCCCCTCTTCAAGGGCTATACGGCGCACGCTCCTAGCAAGCAGCTAGAGACGCTACCCCCTCTCCAAGGGTTATACGGTGTACGCTCCTAGCAAGCAGCTAGAGACGCTACCCCCTCTCCTAGGACTTGCATCTAGTCAGCATGTTTACTGTTGAAGGAGAGTGAGAGAGGAAGGGAGAGAGGGAGAGAGAGAGATATATATATTTTTTTTAATTTAAATCAATTTATTTAATTATATTAAATTACGTTAAATTATAATTAAATTGCAAAAATTTTTTAATTTTTTAATTATTTTTCCTACCACATGGTTTGGTAGGTCGTGTAAGTTTCCTGTTAAAACAAGAAAATACACTAGGGTCCGGGGTTATTTTAATACATTTTACCTTAGTTACCACTTTCTGCGTGCTCGTGGTATTAGCGGTATGTAAAATCATGCTGCTGCTGCTGCTGCTGGTAGCGATGATTGTCGGTGGAAGGGCATTTTCGATGCTACTCATGGAGTGTCTATCCACAGCATCAGTGGCAACATTCATCTAAAAAATATAATTCATTTTTAAAAATTTAATTATTAAATAAAAAATGTATTTATCTATAATAATAAATATTCTTACCTTAAGAAATTTCATCTTTGGTGGAAGAGATATAAACGCTGCTAACGGAAGCTAGAGACACTTCCCCCTCTCTGAGGGTTCACACTCAGCCAGCACAAGCGTCCTACTATCGAAGTAGAGCGAGAGAGAGGGATAGAGAGAGAGAGAGAGAGAGAGAGA